TTCAGGTTATAGAGAAAGTAAATGAGGCAAGGGTGGCACTTCTAAAGTGGAGTAGTTCCTTTAAGAATTAAAGTGAGAAGATCAAAAGATAGCTGACCAAAAAGATGGAGGACTTGAAGAACCAAGGAGGGGACATGGACTGGGATGAGTGGGCCAGGGTTAAGAAAGATCTAGACAAAGCGTACAAAAGGAAAGAAGAGTACTGGAGGCAAAAAAACTAGAATATAGTGGTTGAAAGAGGGAGACTCCAATTCAAAGTTTTTTCATGCTATAACTATTAAAAGGAGGAAGGTCAGTGGCATAAGAAGATTAGTGAGCTCATAGGGACAAATGTGTGTCTCAGGTAGAAATAGAGGAGTGTTTGCTATCATTTTATGAAAGGTTGTTTACTTCAGAGGGCTCAAGTGAAAAAGAAGACATCCTTCAGTACAATTATAATAAAGAAAATGAACCAGAACTTAGTAGCTCCTGTCACTAAAGAAGAAATCAGAGATGCATTGTTCAATATGGATCCAAACAAAGCTCTTGGTCAAGATGATATGTCTCTCTTATTCTTTAAAAAATTCTTCAATGTTATTAAACTTGATATGTGTGCTGCTATCTTCACATTCTTTGATTCCTGTCAAATTCTGAAAAATTGGAATCATGCCCTTATCACTCTAGTTCGTAAGTGTTCCAATCCTGAGTCTTCAAGTAGTTTTAGACCAATAAGTCTTTCTATATGGATTTTCTTATAAGATAATCTCCAAAATTCTCTCAGCTAGATTGAAAAACTGCCTTAGCCAGTGTGTAAGCCATAATCAGCCAGCTTTCATTCAAGGTAGACGGTTGTTAGACAATGTAATCATATCTCAAGAGATATTTCACTTCCTTAATAGACACAGGTCTAGCAAAAATAGGTATATGGATGTTAAACTTGACATGGAAAAAACATATGATAGGTTTGAGTGGAATTGCATTAAGAAAATCATGCTTAAAATAGGCTTTTTACCTCACCTTTGTCAAATGTATATATGCTTGTATTTCTACTGCAGCCTATTCATTTAATCTTAATGGGGACAAGAAAAGTTATGTGAGAGAAACCAGAGGGATAAGGCAGGAGGACCCCTTGTCCTCTTACCTGTTCATCTTGGTGTCTGAGTTATTCACAAGATTACTGAGTGCTGAAAAGGAAAAATGGAACTTTGCAGGAATGAGAATATCTAAATAAGGGCCTCAATTCTCTCGCTTACTTTTTGTTGATGATGCACTAATCTTCAATAAAGCAGAGAGTAGGAAAGCTCATGTGCTTTTGGATGTGTTGCACAACTACCAGCTTTTTACAGGACAAAAAGTAAATCTTACTAAGTCTTCTACTTTCTTCAGTAATAATACCCCTTTAGAGGTTTAGGTGGAAGTGAGTCAAGTCCTTGATGGCATCTCAGTTCATAAGTCAACTAAGTACTTAGGTCTTCTCCTAGGTATAAGGAAATCTATGAAATAGTGCTTTAACTTTGTAGTCGATGCTGTCAGGACTAGATTAGCTATCTGGAAAAAGAGATTTCTGTCAACTGTTGTAAAGAAGTGCTCATAAAATCAGTTATTAATGCTATACCTATCTTTTCAATGTCCCGTTTCTACTTACCAATAGAAACCTGCCAAAAAATCACCAGGTTGAGTGCATGATTTTGGTGGGCAAGGGAGAAGATCAAAGTCCTAGAATACATTGGAAGAGATGGAATTCACTTACTATCTCAAAAGGAGATGCTGGTTTGGGCTTTCTGGACTTACTCCTATTTAATGAAGCACTGATCTTGAAGCAACTTTGGAGAGTAGCCACCAACCCAAATCTACTTGTTGGTAAGATTCTCAAAGGTAAGTACTCCCCTAAAGGCTCACCACTCCAAGCTAAAATCTCTTATAATGCTTCCTGGATGTGGAGAAAAATTGTATGAAAGTGAGAGACAGACACAAGAAGGGCTTCAGAGTGGAAATTAGGAATGAAAACTCCACAAAGTTATAGGAAGACCCATGGATACCTAATTTATTAATTGGGATCCTTAAAAAAAGAGTTGATGTTGCTTGTAATCTGACTAGGGTAGAAGACATCCTGGAAGAGTGAGGAAGAAAATGGAAAGAGGAGCTCCTAGAAGACTAGTTTGTGGAATCTGACATAAGAAAGATCAATAATATCAAGACTCTAAAACATGACCCTAAAGATAAATGGTGCTGGATATTTGACAAAAAAAGAGTTTTATGTGGCTTCAACATACTCAGACTTGGTGTTTAAAAAGACGAGATATGGATGTGGCTGAAAGCAGTAGAACAGCTCAACAAGACAAAAGGGCAAGAAAGAGGAGTTGGGGCTTGAGAATCGAAGGCAAAATTAAGCATTTCTTATGGAAATGCTTCACTATGTGAAGCCAGTCAATGCAAATCTGAAGAAAATAGGTGGAGGTGGATCCAGTCTGACAGTCTTGTGAGGAAGAAGATGAATCCATAGAGCATGTATTTTTCAACTGCAGCAGAGATAGAGGAACTTGGAGACTATCTCCAGTCAGCTGGGACTGATTAGAACTTGAAACTCAAAATTCTAAGAGATGGTGGTGCGGAGTTTGTGGCATAGACAGAAGGACAATATCTGAGGAGAGAATCCAGTTGAACACCTATATTCGTTGGTGGTTCTGGAAGTCCAAAAAGCCTTTGAAAGTTCCAATATATCAGGATGCCTGAGCAAGAGGTGGTGACAACGGCTTGGAAGGATTGGAATGAATTTACTCTGGTGACAACTAAGGGCACATGCACTCTTCTAAGGTGGAATACTAGGTCTCTTGTGAGTTCAGTGGTATAACTTAGTTTGATCTTGCGGTTATAACAGTTTTTTTTTTTTTTTCTTTTCTGAAACGGCAGATTTACTCAAACAAATAAAAGAGTTTTACAAACCGAAGAACCAACTGGCCTTAACTAAGGAAATACAAGGGAGAGCCAGTAGGACACGACCTCAAATACAACAAATATAGCAAAAGAACCCAAACTAAGACATACTACTAAAGGCAAGTACAACCACTTGAGACCTCTGATAATATAAACAAATAAAAAATCCAATAGAGAAATAATGTAGGATGAGAGCTAAAGCCACTGAACCACAGGACCTAGCTAGAGCCACTCAGCCTCCACAATAACTATGCTCTAACATTCTTGTTCAAGAACTCCTGCCATTCCTTGAGAGCCATTTGCAGGATTGTCTTGACAGGAATCCACTGTTTCTTGAAGACCCATAAGTTACGGGCTTTCCACAGCCACCATAGGATGTAGGTGGAAAGTTGTATCCTAGCTTCAGAGACATTAGACTTATCAAGGGTTGAAATCTGCTACCACCATTCTCTGAAGCTGATGTTTTGATTTTGCAGATTGTCCCAGTCCGGAGGGGAAGCCTTCCATACCAATGTTGCTTTGAGACAATGGAAGAAGAGATGCTCTGGTGTTTCTGCATCAGTACCACAACAAGGGCAGATGCAGTCAATTTGTAAGCCCCTTCTCATTAGGTTAGTTATAACTAGGAGTGCACCAGAAAAGCCTTTCCACAAGAAGTGTTTGAGTTTTCCTTTTATGTTCATTTTCCAGCATCTTCTTCTGGCAGCAGAGTCTCTTCTTTCCACTGGTGGATTCTGCAATATCAAGAGAAAGGAGCTTCTGGTAGGTGAGTTTGGAGTAATCCTTGGCTACAGAGAAGTTGTTATTGATGCTGGTACCATCCCAAATCCATCTGTCTTTGAGGTCTGTGTTTAAAGTATTAATATCCAAAATGGCCTTGCAATCAGCTTCAGAAAAACAGGTTTTGACCACATTGACATCCCATCTACTCCTACCAGGTTCAAGGAGATCATGCACCCACATAGGTTGTAAAGGACCAGGCTGTTGAGCTTGAGGGACTCCAGAAGGAATGGAGGGGATCCAAGGGTCAGAGAAAATTTTAGTGTTTCTCCCATCTCGAACTTCCCTTCTAAAACAGTGTTTATATTTTTCCTTGACAGCCATCCAACAGTTCCACATCCAGGAGGCAGAGTGGATTTTTCCAGCTTGAAGGACAGAACAATTAGGGAAGTATTTTTCTTTCAGAATTTTACACACCAACATGTTAGGTTTAGAAAGTAACCTCCAAATTTTTTTAAGGATCATGGAGTCATTGAACAACTTAATATCATGGAAACCTAGTCCACCATTGTCTTTGGGAAGAGTAATGTGATTCCATGCTTTCAAGTGGATCCCACTTTTTTGATCTTCTCCAGAACTCCACCAAAACTTAGCACTCATCATAGCAATTTCTTTGCAGATCCCTGCTGGTAATGAGAAGCATGACATGATGAACACAGGAAGTGCATTGATGACTGAGTTGAGTTGAGTTTATTTTTCCAGCTTTCTAACCTCTTTTTAACTTTTTCAATAACAAACCCAAAGGCTTCTTTTTTTTATTTACCAATTCCAAGAGGCATGCCCAGGTATCTAGATGACCTGTGAGTGGTAATGCCATCCAAAGCCATGCAAATGTCTCTTTGGAGGGAGAGGGGGGCATTTTTACTGAAAAAAACTGCAAATTTTGGAGGTTAATTTTCTGATGTGTGAAAGTTTGGTATCTGTGCAGAATGGATAGGAGCCTCTGAGTTTACAAGAGATTAGCTTCACAAAAGACTAGAGTGTCATCTGCAAAGAGCAGATGTGTGAGGGGTGTACTTCCTCTGACCAGTTTCAAGCCTTTAAATCTGTTGTTCTGCACATCATTAGCAATGGTTGTAACAGTTCACTCATTATTCTTGTTGTATTTGAGCTATGTCTGAGAGGTCCAATGGTTGTAAACTTCTGGAGCAACAACTTCAATTTTATCTCTCTCGCCTGCATTCTATTCTAATAAAATTTGTATTTTCATTTTGAGCACTGTTATGTTGCGTATTTTGCCACCATCAGCAGTGCAAATAATGCAATAATCAATTTGGTAATTCATATATATATTTATCATTTGCCCTCTTTTTTTTTTTTTCATTCCTAGTTGCATTCGCCATCTGCAAACCCAATCATTCCTTTTGATTAAGAAAATATATGGAGATTTTTTTTTTCTTTCTAAAAAAAATACTTTTAAAAAAAATATTACAACGAGACAGTTCAAACATTTTCTTGAAATAAAAAGGGACACTTGAATTAGAAATAAATACAAGACAAGATACTTAATCAATAACTAGTCCAGCAACCCTCTTCTTTATTTCATCAGGATTAGCACCAACAACTTTATCCACCACGGCTCCATTCTTCATCAGCACAAAAGTGGGCATGGCCTTAACCTCCATCTTTGTTGCCACCTCCTAAATCAATCAAATAATTTTTACTTCATTTAAGATTATAAATTGGAACCTCTAATATATATTGTGGAACTATTATTGAGGTACATAAAATAAAATGATATAAAACCTTAATCTCGTCAACATCCACCACTAGAAACATGATATTCTGGTGGGCTGAGGCCAATTCTTGAAAAACTGGTCCCATGGCTACTGATGGCATGCACCAAGAAGCCGTAAAGTGCACTACCACCTGCAATTTTACACCACAACAACAGAATTAATTGTATTGTTTCGATTTTGTATGACTTTTAGAAAATAGTAAGATTAATGTCCAATTCTTGTTTTATAAGCATAAGTTTAAGTACTATTTCAATTTAGGAAAAATGAAATATATTCATATCTAAAAACTAAAGAGTTTTAGCTTTGAGTACTTACAGGACAGCCTCGATTTTGGGCTTGTGACATGAGCATAACCCATGTTGCCTCAGATTCTACTTTGGCAACTGTAGACTGAGTTGCTTGCAGGTGCCCAGCCATAACTTATTAAGATTTTGTCTAAAGATGCTAAGAAATAATAAATATGTAATATATCTTCTTCTTTAATTAGTGTCTTGAAATGATCAAGAGTTATCATATGTTACGTATATATATAATATGGATATGATGTATGGATATGTATATCCAATTTTTGTTGGGCACAATTAATGAGCAATTGGATTAGAACAAAGTAGGGTCCTCTTTGAAAAACACAGGTTCCCACCACTTTTTTATCATAACATTCAATCCAAAACTAGTGCCAAATGCCAATTATAAAATATCTTTACATGTGGTGAGAGAATATGTTGTACGAGTTCCACGTTTCTATTCTTGGCAGTGAAGTCAAGAAAAATAAGGATATAGGGTGGACATAAGAATGTCTGCGTAATTATCATCATTATTCTAAGGCATTATCCC